GCCAGGCCGCTTCCCGGGGCCTCTCGCTGGGCGCCTCCGCCGAGGGGCAGCTTCCAGATGGTTTGGGGGGGCCTTGCTCCTCCCCGGTGGGGCTGTACCTGGCATCCTACTCCACGCCCCGCCGCCCCTAAATTTTGTTTGGAAGAGCCTGGCTTTTTTCTGTGCCTCCAACGCCGATGCTAAATCGGTTTAATGCTTTGGAAAATACCTGTCTCTTGCCAGCCTCCCTTTTTCTTTCCAAACCGATTGCTTTTGCTCAAAAGATACATTTCTCTTTGGAAGCCTGACTGCCCCCTCAAATGCTGTAGCGGGGTGTTTTTCTTATGGATAGGTCTTCCGCCTTCAGAAAAAGATAGGAAGGGAGGATTAGGGCTCCTTAATCTCTGTAGCACCGTCCAAGTCCCTTCTCATTCAGCTACCTTTAACGTGGTGTGTCGACTTTCTATTGCATGGCAGAGAAACAGCCGGAGTAGTGTTTCTGAAAATGAGGAAGAACAGCAAGATACAAGCAAGAAAGCGAAACTGAAAAGAATGGCAATAAACTTAAGTGACCTGTTGTCCCACTTAGGCCAATATTATTTTAAAATCTTTAAGTAAACAGGGCTGTCATTAGTTTCATTAGTGGAGCCCATCATTTGCGGAGCAATGTTGATGAGGAAAGATGAGGCTGTTTCCATTTGGGTGTCTCTAGTTGTCTGTTACAGAGACTCCTCAGGCATTTTAGAGACCAACACATTGACTGTGGCCTAAGTTTTTATGAGTTATAGTCTATTTCGTCAGATGTACAACATCCTCTGCATGTGGGTGTGTAAAAAAAAAGTAAACAAGTTTAGAGGGAAATGGAATGCAGGAATAACCTGTAAGGTTATTTGCAGGCGTTTGACATGTGTGTAGTGATCATTGAGATCTCAGTGGTTTTTGTACATGAGCTTGAATTTCAGTGTTGATGCCCTAACTGTTTTTAGTAGTTTAATGCTTTCAGTCTTAGCTTTTAACATTGATGTTTATTACTATTCAATACTGTTTCTTCTTCTTCCTATCTGATACTCTACACTTGCTTTGGATCCTTTTTAGGAGAAAGGCATGATATACATATTTTAAAATAAATAAATGAATTTCAATATATTTTTTCCTTTTTATGGTGTACCTGCCAGCTGCTTTAGCTGTGGATCTGCTACTCTAATGAAGTGTGATGTGGTCTGTAGAGGTTTGATATATAGTCTTGACAGTGTCACAAGGCAGATGTGGGTGTGTGCTGCATTAAATAAAATACAGGTTGTCTCTCCTCTTGCATCCTTGTGGGCATTCTTTGGAACAGAAAATGTATGTTGTAACCAAACACTGCAAGTGCTAATAGAATTCTCTTGTGTGTTTTTCCCCAGATTGAAGTGAATTATTTTGGACAGAACTCAAGTTTGTTAGAAGATTTAAAAAAAGGTGTTCCAGAGTGCATCAGTGCAAGTGACTGCTTTACTTTTGAGTGACTTTACAGGTGCTTGCCTGTGTTGCAATAAAAGACTCATATACTGAGCAGGACCTTATTTATCTCTTCATCTTGGAGAGCCTAATAAACTATTATAGTTTCTGTACTCAAGTTCAAAAAGACATCTTTACAGAGCAAAACATGAGTACAGCCAGAACAGAGAACCCTGTTATAATGGGTCTCACCAGTCAGAATGGACAACTGAGGGGCCCTGTAAAACCCAGCAGCGGTCCTGGAGGCACGGGGACACAGGCTCAGCAGCAGATAAACCAACTGAAGCATCCCACCACAATCAACAATGGCACTCAGCAGCAAGCACAGAGCATGGCCTCCACTATCAAGTGAGTAACTGCCGAAAGATGCAGCAACAGCAAACCTCAGACACCTGGAGTCCTTGTTCTTGAGCTGGAACACGAGGTCTTCCCTTTGCTCGGCCTTCTTGTCAGCTAGGATGATGTTTGATCAGAGCATAACTTATTAGGTTTTACCATCACAATTTTTCCTTCGTTCATGTTATTTCAGCTCTGTGTGTCTAGGCAGAACGGCTCATGTTTCCATTCCCTGTGAGGCTGACAGCAGCCTGCTTTGGTTTTGTTCAGTTCTCAATAGTCTTGATTCCACTTCAGTGCTTTTGCAGATTGATTGAATTCTTGATTAACTTTTAATGCCTAACTTTTGGGTGTTGGAATTTTCTCATTTGTTTTGCAGTTTGTTTAGTGCTGTTGTGCCTTAGAGTAACGGAATGCAAATCAGAAAGAGAGATTCTTTCCTTGAGATGCTTGTGGCTAAATCTGACAAAGGCCAAAGCCAACAGAAGCTGGAGTTGCCACTATAAAAAAGTGATGAAAACACTTTAAGCATTATAAATGTAGCAGTAATAGCAGCAGTAGTAATCATCATAATCATCTTAGAGCTGCAGAGCTGGGAAGGACCATGTGGATCTTTAAGTCCAGCCTCTGTCAAGGAGGCAGATTCTGACTCCTAACCTCTGGCTGTACACCCAGATGCCTAAACCCCTGAGCTCTCCAATAATCGCACACAGTTCATGCACCTACATGTTAACGGCTAACCTGGACAACTTCTGATAGCTTTCTTAATGGGAAGGCACAACAGTGTAGGTTTGGTACTGTGAGAACTCATGGAAGTTGAGGCCACTTGCATCTCCACTGGTTGAGCCTCCAGTAATCTGTTCTCAGCAGGGTGTCAATGAGTGATGGTGTTTAATCATGTTCTGTGCAGTGGGGGGCTTTGAAGGTATTAAAAATCCAGGCACAACCAAACTGACTCCCAGCAAAACTTTCAGAACTGGCATTGAATGTCCTTGTCAAACAAAGTTAGTCTTCTGCTTCTGCATTTGTGATCTTTTGAAGTTCCAGAGTAGTCTTCAGGGCCAGCTGCTCATAACAGATTGCAATAGGTATGACATCTGTGGGTCTCCCAAACCGGCCCAATAGTGGAAGGTTTCTTGTCTCCCTGAGGATGCTCTGCTGGCTTAGGAGCCGAAGGTGGTGAAATGTGCTTCTTGTCTTGAGTTGGCCTGAAAGTCCAAGAGGGAGGCTTCAGGAGTGTTCCTTTTTCAGTAGTAATGTGGCCACATCTGGGGAGAAGGTTCCAACTGCCCTTGGACTCTGTATTGTGTCTTTTCCAAGGCAACTTTTCAGCTTGTAGATCTGTACCGAGCTCATATCCTCTTGATACTGGGGATAAAGTTTCTCTGTTGTGGCCAGTAGCCATTGGTAGCCTTTATCTCACTGAATTTGTTTAATTCTCCCCTTCTCAAGTTGTCCAAGGCAAGAGACTTCGCTACGTTCCCTAGCAGAGGACTGTCTGGTTTAATTGTGCCTCCTTTGGCCCTTGTCCACTAATTTGGTCTCATTGCTTGACTGACCTCAGGCGGAAATACGAGGGAGGGAGAACAACTCCCCATATCACACCACACATCCCTCTGGATGTCTGCCCTTTTTTCTAAAATTCCCCTGGCCGTTGTCATGCTCTCATAGGCAGTTGTCCCGACTTTTCTTTATTTTTGTTGCCCTTTTCATCCTTTCCAGCTTCATGGTGCCTTCTTTCCTGTGTGGTCATTGAAATGCTGCTGGGTGTTCAGAGTGTGATTATTAATTCCCCCTTCAGCAGTTTCACATAGTCTCTTCCTGATTATCTCAGATGTGGAATTTGCCTTTTTCGCAAGAGCCACATGCTTGGTTATTTTCCTTCAGCTTCTGCCACAGTTCCAGAATCCATTTCCTGGTCATCTCTTGCCAGCTTTGCCCCATCAGCATGTATGTGAAGTTATGATTTGGGGGTTATAGTGCCTCATATTCAACACAATAAGCTGTTTCACTGCCCACCCTCTGGTATGGAGTGATCCTCTTGGAGCTCTTTGCTCACATTTGTTGTTTTAACTGCTATAAATAATATAGTTTGATTGTCCACCTTAGCTACCACAAGGCTTGTTCCTACCCCCAGGTTTTTTATAAGCAAGATTAAAAACTACTAGTTCCAGTACAGATTCTTATAGAGCTCAACAATTTACAGCCATTCCCTGTGAAGGTGGACAATTTATTCATAATTCTTACTCCTTCTTTAACCAGCTGCTATTGTTTGTTCAGTCGTTTAGTCGTGTCCGACTCTTGGTGACCCCATGGACCAGAGCACGCCAGGCCCTCCTATCTTCCACCGCCTCCCGGAGTTGTGTCAAATTCATGTTGGTTGCTTCGATGACACTGTCCAACCATCTCATCCTCGGTCGTCCCCTTCTCCTCTTGCCTTCACACTTTCCCAACATCAAAGTCTTTTCCAAGGAGTCTTCTCTTCTCATGAGATGGCCAAAGTACTGGAGCCTCAGCTTCAGGATCTGTCCTTCCAATGAGCACTCGGGGTTGATTTCCTTTAGAATTGATAGGTTTGTTCTCTTTGCAGTCCAGGGAACTCTCAAGAGTCTCCTCCAGCACCACAATTCAAAGGCATCAATTCTTCGGCGGTCAGCTTTCTTTATGGTCCAGCTCTCACTTCCATACAACACTACAGGAAAAACCATAGCTTTGACTATTCGGACTTTTGTTGGCAAGGTGATGTCTCTGCTTTTTAAGATGCTGTCAAGGTTTGTCATTGCTTTCCTCCCAAGAAGCAGGCATCTTTTAATTTCGGGGCTGCTGTCTCCATCTGCAGTGATCATGGAGCCCAAGAAAGTAAAATCTGTCACTGCCTCCATATCTTCCCCTTCTATTTCCCAGGAGGTGATGGGACCAGTGGCCATGATCTTAGTTTTTTTGATGTTGAGTTTCAGACCGTTTTTTGCACTCTCCTCTTTCACCCTCATTACAAGGTTCTTTAGTTCCTCCTCACTTTCCGCCATCAGAGTGGTATCATCTGCATATCGGAGGTTGTCGATATTTCTTAGGCAATCTTGATTCCGGCTTGGGATTCCTCCAGTCCAGCCTTCCGCATGATGTATTCTGCATATAAGTTAAATAAGCAGGTTGACAATATACAGCCTTGTTGTACTCCTTTCCCAATTTTGAACCAATCCGTTGTTCCATATCCAGTTCTAACTGTTGCTTCCTGTCCCACATATAGGTTTCTCAGGAGAGCTGCTATACTAAACTGTTAAAAGGACTTCTCCTTTTATCCCATGAGTGCTGCATTTGCTGAGGAGTCTGGTGAGGGCGTGAGAAGCCGGAGACTCACCATAAATCATATCTGTCTGTGGATCAGGCTATAGGGTCAGCCTGATCAACGTGCTTGTGGATTCTTTTAGAGAACTGAATGATTAGTGGGACAGGACTTGTGCTTTGGAGGAGCCGCGTTCCTCCTTCAGCCGTGGTTTGCATTCCTTCACATTTGGTGAATTCATCTTGAGTAATAATTTCCAGCTTTTTACCTGGAACAGATACTAAGTGAAGCAACCTGCATCAGGACTTGATGGCCTTGTAGGCCCCTTCCAACTTCACTTTTCTATGATTCTGTGATCCTGTTACCCTCTGGAATATCTTTTAAAAGAAACTGTTGCACTGGTCACTTTCTACTGGTGCACATGATCCTCTTAGGGATGCGTTGTTGTTTTTGAAGGTCAACAATTTTGAATTGGCGTGCTTAAGCATTCTTGTTGGCTTTGATGTAACTAGTGGTGTGCTCCTCGAAATCCTCTTTTGGACCCTGTGCCTGCTTTGCATTTCTTTTGTGCATGGTGGTTCTCCCTTTTGTTTCGTTTCCCAGGAGTTCTCATCAAGCTGAAATGGTTCTAGGTAGCCTCCGTCCCCTTGGAATAACTGCAGTTGTGCCTTGGCCAAGGAGAGGAGTAACCTACAGAGCTGAGATTCCTTAATTCATTGGTGTAAAGAGGGAGTATCTTACAAAAGTAAAGCAGCCCTCCCACAGTGAGGGCCTGACTACATTGAACAAGAAATCCAATTTCTAGCTTGCTTTCTTTTCTTTCTTTCTTTCTTTCTTTCTTTCTTTCTTTCTTTCTTTCTTTCTTTCTTTCTTTCTTTCTTTCTTTCTTTCTTTCTTTTCTTTCTTTCTTTCTTTTCTTTCTTTCTTTTCTTTCTTTCTTTGTTTCTTTCTTTCTTCATTCATTCATTCATTCATTCATTCTATTTGTACCCCGCCTATCTGGTCAAAACAACCACTCTAGGCGGCTTTCTGGTGTTGTGACTGGGCTCAAGATAACATGTGGTGCCACAGGCAGATTTTAATACCTTGTCTCTGTCCTCAAGATTCCTGTTTGAGTACTGCATTGGTATCTGACCAGTATTTACCTAGCATGTCTCAGATTAATTCCAAATTGTAGAACACAGTGGCTGGCAGTTGTGAAGAAATCTTGCCTCGCACAGCAAACCATGTAAAATGAATGATGTGTGAAAGGCTTTCAACGTATCTAGTTTACATCTGCACTGTGTGGCATGGTGTAAGAGGATGTATTTTCTCTGCCCTGGTCAAACCATAGATGTGTTGGTTTTACACCCTATTCATCGTCTTCCTTTCCTCAGAACATCTTGGGAATTGAAATTGATTAAAGTTGTTGACTACTTTCTGTCCCAAGCGTCCCTGCTGCTGCTTAGGAGAGGGACTGACTTCATCGAGTCACTTAAGTCTGGTGTGTAGGCATGTTCTTTGAGGAAGACAGATTTTCTCCTGACATTTTCATCCCTGATATATATTCCTGTTTTGCAGTCCATAAACCCTGAGGTGGGATGACGGTGCATGCACCTTCTCTGTTATTCTAGCATCAAATGTGCAAGAGCAAGTAATAACACTGTTTCTTCCTCCAGACCTGGCGATGACTGGAAGAAGACTTTGAAACTCCCTCCGAAAGATCTGAGAATCAAAACTTCGGTAAGGCATTCCTAAAGTGAATGATGGTTTGCAGTGTATTTCACAAGATGGCTTGAAAGAGGAAGGAGGGAGACAGTAACCATTTGGGAGAAGTGAAATAAGCTTAGCTAATCATTATCTTGGCCTCAGAAGAAAGACAGACAGGTCTATCCATGACCAAAGTCTGGTTTGTTCCCCATGACAAGCAGAACTGTGGCAGGGCACGAGAGGAAGGAGAGTGCCTTGCTCTTGATTCTGGAGGGTTGGCAAAATGCACCGAGTGCCAGTATTGTAAGCTAACTGTCCTCTTTCCTTGTTCAGGACGTGACATCCACAAAAGGAAATGAATTTGAAGATTACTGTCTGAAACGGGAGTTGCTGATGGGAATTTTTGAAATGGGCTGGGAAAAACCATCTCCTATCCAGGTTGGTGCCCAATCGCCGGGCTTTCTGACAAGAATTAGGATGTAAGATGCTAGCTTAGCAAAGGGGTATTAGCATTGGGTGTTAAAGAATGACTGCACAGAGTGCAATACAATGCCATAGGGTGGCTGCATCTTGGCGATCCAACAGGATTGAGCAGTTGCACAAATGGCCAAGACGCCTCTCTCATCCAGGCACAAACATAGCAGGTGTGGTGGATGTGAGACTTTTCTTGTAGAGTAGCACTTTGCAGCAGTCTAAGCTTCTCGTAGTGGAGTCCAGTGATTTCTGTTAATTAGAAGACTTATATTTCATTCCCCATTTAGAGATTTCACCGCAAAGTACAAACAATAAATCCTGCATGGGCAGGATGTGGGACAAGAGCAAAGATGGGTAGCTCGGGGTGGGCACGAGGGCCAGCAATTTATTTCCACCCTCAACCACAGGCTGCACCATCCCTGAAAATGGCCAAAAATTGGGTGGGTGGGGGAACTAACCCCAAATGTACATAAATGACTGCTTCAGCTTTCAGTTTTGGGGGATGGCTTGGGGAATCCCTTCGCCTCTTTAAAACGGAAGCCTTCAGTTCTGGAATGCCTGCAGGAATGGGAAAAACTACTCCTTGCCAAAGCATACAATATGGCACCCAGAGGGCTTCACTGGCCTAACCTTGGACTACCTTGGGATGCCTTCTGACTATAGTTCTGGGATTCTGACTAGATAGCAGTTTGCATTGGGGTTCTTTTAACAGAGTGTGGCATGTCATTGTCAGACTCAGCTTGATTCTCTGTGGCAGTCCCTTGCTGGGGGAATGAGGCCTACGGGTCTCAAATCCAGTGGTACCTGGAAAGCTCCTGAAGAAACAAAAAACCTTTCTTTTCCCCCATCATAGTATTGTACAACTACTTTATTAATCCCTAATTCAGTTTATTGAGATGAGTGGGAGTTCCTCTGTACTTTTGGATTACCCTACTTGTGTCAGGGAGATTGTGTAAAAACAGGTGGGGGAGAAGAGAGAGAAGGGCCAAAAGGCAATATTCTGCCACCATACATACTGTTGGCTTTGTTTCCACTTCAGCTTTTGTGGATCAAAATCTACTTCCTCGCGCACAGAGAGTGCTCGTTCTTTGCCCTCTGTATTTGTACATGTCCCCATGGTGGTACAAATCATGGCCAGATGATGATCCAGATAAATTCTGACCTCAGATAAAGCCGAAGGCTTTTTATGACACTATATATATTAATAAGCCAGTTTTCCGCACTACTTTACATGTACCTGTATAAAATAGTTGTTTCTGTGGACAAATTCTGACTGGTGCTCCACAAACAATTCTTAGCAGTTCTGTGACAGCTGAACCCACCCAGCAAGATCTTGATAGTCCCATTTCAGTGTTCACAATGCATGGGGTCAGCTTGTGTATTGTCAGTCCTCACCCGCTCATGGCCTACACCGATACAGTTGCCTTGGTATGAGCCTTCCCCGTGTCGGAGGAGGTGGATTTTGATGGAAACAAATCAGTTGCTGTTTTTGAAGATACCATAATTCCTTATTTTTTATTTTTGCCAACATACTGAAGGAGACAGACACAGCCACCTCTTTGGAAGCGGCTTCATCCTGGCATCATCCTTGGGGCAAACGTAGAAGATGAGGGCAGGAGGAGGGAGCGTGCACGTGGGTGGGTGGATCTTTGGCCAAGGGTACATGAGAAGAGTTGTCCCTTGAGGTGAGGGTTGTGTTGTCTCATGCCAGTTCTTGCGGCTTCCTTTCAGGAGGAGAGCATTCCCATTGCTTTGTCTGGGAGGGATATCTTGGCTAGAGCTAAGAATGGAACCGGCAAGAGCGGCGCCTACCTCATTCCCTTACTTGAACGGCTTGACTTAAAAAAGGATAACATACAAGGTCAGTGAAAGAGGACACCGCGCGAGTCTGAGTTGCAGTGTCTTGTTCACCCCTTCTTGCTTACCTCTCCTCTGACGCAGAGGACAGGACTTTCCTCCTCACGTTATCCAGCCAGCAGTCCATTAGGGTAGGTCACTGAGAGACCCTTGGTCACCCATGTTGTTGTTGTTAGCAGTTCTGTGGCTCTTCCAAGTCCCAGTTCTGGACTTGCCACTGGCCCTCATACTGGTCTGCTTCAGGATAGGTCTCGCTGATCCTGTCTGTCATGTTATGACATAGGTGCTTTGTATAAACAACAGTTGTAATGTCCCCATTCAGTAAATGTAGAGCAAGCCTCACACTTACCCCCAGTCAGGAGCACAGTTGACTTTGCTGTATCAGTCAAGTTGAACCTAGCATTCTTTGTCCATCATCAGTCAGATGGATGATCCTGAAGCTTGTGCTTGAAGCCAGTGAATGGAATGCCAGGCTACCTAGGCCTTGGATGGGCCTAATCCAGCCTGGCACCTCTTTCCTCTTAAGAAGTTGCTGGTTGACCCCTGTTTCTCCCTTGAATCTGTGACTCAAAGCAATAGTGCTTCAGAAGATGAGCCTCGTGGTGCAGTGGTTAAAACGCTGTACTGCAGCTAAAACTGTGCTCACGACCTGGGGTTCAAATCCCAGGTAGCCGGCTCAAGGTTGACTCAGCCTTCTATCCTTCCGAGGTCGGTAAAATGAGTACCCAGCTCGCTGGGGGGCCAATGTGTAGCCTGTATAATTAAATTGTAAACCGCCCGGAGAGTGCTTGTAGCACTATGGGGCGGTATATAAGTGCAAAAAAAAAAAAAAAGATGAGGGGCTTAAATACTTTTAATACCTCTCAGCCAGTGAATTTTAGTACCTCAGTGGTGATGAATTCTGCCATGAAAGTCTCTCATCTGCAGTTTAGCAGGTGCCTTGTATCCACTGAATGTCTGGACAGGATAGTGAGGCCACTAGGTTAACTAAAAGTCTTCAGTCTCGTGTTCTGCCCCTCTTTTACAGCAATGGTGATTGTTCCCACACGAGAACTTGCCCTGCAAGTCAGTCAAATTTGCATCCAGGTCAGCAAACATATGGGAGGGGCCAAAGTGATGGCAACTACAGGAGGAACCAACCTTCGTGATGACATAATGCGGCTTGATGACACAGGTAGGGTGGCTTGTGGGGTGTTCTGAAGTGTTGGCTCCTGAACGGAAGCCCCCGGCAGGCTTTTGGCCCCTCTGCGCTCTGGAGTTTCGCTAGCACTGAATTCAAATAACAGCCCCCTCTCTTTTTGCAGTGCATGTGGTGATAGCTACACCAGGGAGGATCCTGGATCTCATCAAGAAAGGAGTAGCAAAGGTGGACCATGTCCAGATGATTGTTCTAGATGAGGTAATGTTAGTATTGGGGTGACCACCTTGTTCTTTGCAGAGGAAAGGAGTGGTGGTCAGCTACGAGGCTGGGTGTAATTGCCTTTTTTGAAACACTGTTTGAAACCGGGCCTATTTCCCAATAGTTTTTGCAAGGAAGGATTGCTTCCTGAATAAGAAGAGTTGCAACTGCTTGGCTTAAAAAGAGTCAATCGATGTAGTAAAAGCAGATCAGATTCATTCTGTTAAATGAGTGGAAGAGAAAGACATACATAAAACAGTACCCTGACATTTGCCATCACTGCTTCTCTTTACAGGCAGACAAACTGCTCTCCCAAGATTTTGTTCAAATAATGGAAGACATTATTCTCACGTTACCAAAAAACAGGCAGATCTTGCTGTACTCAGCCACTTTCCCTCTGAGTGTACAAAAGTTTATGGTGAGTGTGGTACAGCTGAGCTAGGGATTCTGGGCTGGGTTTGCTGGGTTTTGGCCCTGCACCTGGACTGCCGCCCCCCTCTCCCTGAATGCTAGTGGGCTGCCCGTTTCCTTAAAGGTCCTGATGGTTCTCTTTTCAGAATTCTCACCTGCAGAAACCCTATGAAATTAACTTGATGGAGGAGCTGACCCTGAAGGGAGTTACCCAGTACTATGCTTATGTGACTGAGCGCCAGAAAGTGCATTGCCTCAACACACTCTTCTCCAGGGTAAGCAGTGGCACGTGGCTCTCACTGTATTCCTCTTTCCCTGATTGTGTGGCTCCTTTTTTTGCACATGGCATCTAAGAAGCTAAGCAGTTTTCCTAAACATTGGGCTAAATAACATTTCCTTTTATCTAAAAGGTTCTGGAAAAGAAAGGAGGACTACCAAGACAGATTACATTTGGTGCCACAGTTTTAAGGAAAACTTGTGTTTTGCCACTAGCACAGTTACACTGACTGCTCCCACTGCTCTTCATCTGTTAGGCCTGCCTGACTTCTCTCCATTTGCTGTCCTGTCTTCATGCACACATCCCTTTGCAGTAGAATAACTACTTTCAACACAAGTCTAGAGTTCTGACTGAGAAATAAAACGTCATTTTAAGCAGATGTGTATAGTTGTTTTTTTCAGGTTAAGAAGAGTTAGGAAAATACATTTCTTGTTGTGAGGGAAGGGAATGAGGGTGACAAATTCAAGCTGCCTTACCTGGCAGATTTGCTCTGTTTGCAAGCAGGTAGCGGTCTTCACCACAACCAGTAGAGCTACTTCATAGACTTCCTCCTTTAATTCCAGAACTGAGAATGGTGTCTGGTACTGACCACACTGGCAGATGTTTGCATGCTTCATGGCTGAACATTTCATTGAGAGCTATATGTGAGATGCTCACCCAGGACTGTTGTCTGTGCTGACTGGGCTCAACTACGGACTGTGAGAAATGTAATGCCTTCTTGTGTTTGTTTTTAGCTCCAAATTAACCAGTCGATCATCTTCTGCAACTCCTCCCAACGAGTTGAACTGCTCGCAAAGAAAATCTCCCAGCTGGGGTATTCCTGCTTCTACATTCATGCAAAGATGAGACAGGTTAGTGTGAAGGTCAGAGCAATTCACAAGTGCCTGTAGGGTTTTAATATTCAGTTATGTCACCCTGGTTCCAGATGTGTCACAAAACTGAAACGGCAAAACAGACCTTTTGGAACTGCTGAGACTGATGGATTATTTTTTAGTCTGAACTACTATGGCTTTGCAGTCCATTTCTTCAGATGTACTGTGTATATATAAGCAAAAAGTTCATATACACCTGGTTGTGGGAGTGTGGGCCAAATAAAATGGGATACCCAGCATGACTGTGGTGTCATTTCCTCTGGTAATGAGCTTTGCAGTCCCCTAAATTGTTGCTGATAACATTTGAACAAAGTATCTTTAAGACAATGAAGAAGCATGAGAGCTAATGAAACTAGAAGCTTAGTAACCTCTTTTTTTAAACAGAAGAAACAACATATATATATCTAGGAGGGATAAGCATTTATAAAAGGTTTCCTATTAGCTGTAGAAGTTTTGTTAGCTTGAGTAGAGGCATGAAAATGCCATTTCTGCTCACTGGTGGTCAGCCTCCAAAAAGCAGGCAAATGATTTAAAAGTACAGAGGTATCAGCAAAGATCCAAGAAGGAGCCAATGCAGAATTTTATATGTGTAATAATTCCTCCATGAGCTTATAACAGGGCATGACCCTAGTGTATGTGGGAGGTGCAACAGGAGAATTATAGTGCCAGCTCTTAGATGATTTACTCAGACTTTTCCTAAAAGGGTCTTGTGGTGTCTGGTATCCTTTAAACATAATTTTTTGTTCAATAAATTGTAGCTTAAGATCTACAGGATATATCAGGTTTATTAGTGAATACTGCCCTCTGTTGATTAGGCAGCCTGTCTTCCTCTGGTAACGAGCTTTGAAAGTGCTGGTTACATAAACATCCAGGGAGCTGGTAGAGTAATTAGCTTAAGCTGAACATTTCTAGGCTAATACACAGTAGTTGTGCCTTTGTTTTTGAAATGTTGACATACTAGTTTCTGTTGTCATCTCAAATTATTGGTGGCAGAAGCTGTTTAGGTTTTGTTGCACATGTAGAATTTTAATTTGTGAGAGGAGTAATGGAATGGGAGAGAATGTCTTCTTTAAATATATTTCTAATGTTATGTTCCTGTTTATTAAATAACATGTTAGCATGAGGAGTGCTCCAAGATTTCCCAACTGATCCCCTTCCATTTCTTAAACTAAAGTGTGTCATGATTGTATCAATCTGGCACCCAGAGGAGACTGGGGGGGGCAGCATAGTAAAAACTAGCATAAGCTCAGACAAACTGAAGTGGGGAGATCCAGGCGTGAACATAGAAGGGGCAAAGAAGTAATATGAGTGATTGAAATGTGGCTCTCCAGAGGTCTTGACATTTAGTAGAGTGCCTTTTCCTCTGGTAAACTGTGTTCTGTGGCTTGAAGTGGGCAAAGAAGAGCACCTGCCATTTCCAGGAGGGGGAGCAGGTGTGGTGTGGCAGGGATAACAGGCTTCACCACTGTTTGCCTCTGAACCTGGAGGGAGGGTCTGTTGGTGAGTAATCCTATTATTTCTTCCCAGGAGCACCGCAATCGAGTGTTCCACGATTTCCGGAATGGCTTATGCCGCAATCTTGTTTGCACTGGTGAGTGCCCATCATCTGCTTTTTCTCCGGCCCATGCCCTGCCTGAAGAACTAGTCAGCTCAGAGATGAAAACACCCTTTTGGCAGGAAGGCCATCTTCTGAGACTTTCCCTGTTTGGGAACTTATCAGAATGTTCTTCTCTTGTCACAATTCACTAAGATTATTTGAGTAACTCAGTGTTTTGAAAACATCATCATGCAAGAAGAAAAGTTGTGATTAATGTAAGAATAAGGAGAAATAGCCCCTACTGCAGTTCTCTCCCCCCTCCCCCCGCCCCTGCCACCATTATTCTAGAACCATCCAAGTTGAATTTGATGGCAGCATGAATAGCCAGGAACCAGATTCCTTAAATTTCTCAATTTAATTTGAGGGTGGGGACTGGGTGAAGGTGGTATATAATTGTCCATCTGAAGGATCCTGTGCTATTCCTCCATGAAAATCTGGATACTCAAATATAGCTGTGACCTGGAAGGTTAAAGAAAATGAAAACACAAGGCTGGAAAACATCTCTGTGGCTGTTTATTTGTTTAGAACATTTTGATTGCACACTCAGTCCAAAATGTACCTAGCACAGCTAAAGTATGATCAGTTCTGGTTGAGGAGGACCTACTTAAATTGTCTGGCCTGGGATTTCTGTCTTTCAGATCTGTTTACCCGAGGTATTGATATCCAAGCTGTGAATGTTGTGATAAACTTTGATTTTCCAAAGCTGGCAGAGACATATCTCCACCGTATTGGCAGATCAGGTGAGGATGCTGTGCTGGGAAGAAGAGTAGATTTGTTTGCCGTGGTGAGTTAGTTGCTCCTGAGAACAAGCGAAAAGGTGTGGGTCCAAGGCAGGGAACAGCCAGCTTGACTGTGTCCTTCGTGTCCATGAGCCACAGATGGACAGCTCCCGTTACCTGTTCCTTTCTTCTGCCCAGGTGACAACACTCAGCTTGGTTTTATAGGCAAGCAATCTGAATGATCAAAAAAGTAGCCAAGCTGGGTCTGTCAGTAAAAGCAAAATCCACCACTCAGCCTTCCCTGTGCTAGTGTCAGCTCCTAGGTCAGGGAAGCGTGCCAACTTCTTTGAGTTTGCCAGGGCTCCTTGTCAGGCTGGAGGAGAAAGGTGGGAGTGGGAGGTGGCAGTTCTCGTCCTGTTCTTTTAGAACCCAGGGGTCTTGTTTTAGCTTCTCTCTTGGGGGGCGTGGTTTGCCCCAGGTGTGTCCTTTGTTGCAGCGGTTAGGCTGACTGCCAGCTTGATCCTGAGAAGAGTGTAGCTCACAGGTGAAGTTCTGCCCAGGCTCGTCCCTGCAAAAAAGCAACCCACGCATCCCACTTCCCTCTTGCCCTTGGGTAGATGGCAGCGTCTTGTGCTCTGGGGATGGGCAAAGGTCCCGTCGGGATATTCCGGTGGTGCCTCAGCCCCCTGAATTGTGCCTTCTGCCAGGGTCACAGGTGACCAACTTTTGGGGTTGGGCCTGATCGGTTTGGCTGCATTTTATTGTTCTACAACCATTGATGTGCATGTGAGGATGGGTTTTGTGGGATATTTATAAACTGCTTTTAGGATGAATACAGATTGCAGCACACAAATAATCTTCTGAGATAGGATTTTCCCTCGGCTTCATTGGCCTCGGGTTGCAGCCGTTCCAGTGGAGAGCAAAACGCTGTGCTTCTCTGCGGAGATAATGGGGCTGCCAAGCAGTACCTTTTAGCTGCCATATCCTGGGAGGTGTGGGGAAAGCCAGAATCATTCAAGACGTGTGCTGGTGTTCATCTGTCCCCGCGGGTCTGCCTGCAAGTCTCTTTAAAAGTCTGCTCACTCAGGGTCCATTTTCTCTCCTCAAAGGTCGATTTGGCCACCTTGGCCTAGCCATCAACTTGATCACCTACGATGATCGATTCAACCTGAAAAGTATTGAGGAGCAGCTGGGAACAGAAATCAAGCCCATCCCCAGCAACATCGACAAGAGCCTCTATGTGGCAGAGTACCACAGCGAGTCGGTAGAAGAGGAGAAACCCTAACTGCTGGGTGCGTCCCTGACTCGGTCTTGGGGAGTGGGAACGTCTCTGGGGGAAGCGGGAGAAGCAGGCAGCGTCATGGCGTCCTCTTCTCTCAGGGCCCCTTTCCCCAGTTAGGGCTGAGCGCCTGTTCCTTTGGATGATGCTCAGGGACACGTGAAGGGCCCTGCGTGCTTGTGTGCTTTCTCTCTTGCACGCTCTTGCTCTCTTTCTCAGTACTCGTGAGCAGCTGGCTCTTGGGTTGGAAGGCCAAGTCAGGATTTATAGCTCGGTCATGAGACACCTTGTGATTTGGAACTAGTGGGGTCCCAGCTAAGTTTAAAGGCCTGCTGGCCTCTCTCTCTGTGTGTGTGTGTGTGTTTGTGTTCCCAAGAGTCTACAGAGAGGGGTGGAGTCATCATCATTCGTGATTGTGAGAAAGAGTGTTGGGGGTCTAATGGAAATAGAGGTAATGTGTGGTTCATGCCATGAAGCATACAGAGCATTTCATCTCTAGTAGGCATTTGTGGGGAACATGGAGCTTTGTCTGAAATTGCCACTCTTCTTTTAGGGCTCTGCAGTGACCGTATGGAATATTTAGGAATATCATGTTAATGCAGAGCCCTGAGCTGGGCTCTCCCACCAGGGGGGTTTACCTGTACTTAGGTACAGCTCAGGTGTCAGAAACCATGTTTTGGGCTGCCCTTTCTAGCAAGGACTGGGAAGCAGGAGGGGAGGAGCCCCTCTTGCATGCCCTGGCTGCTGGGGAGGTGCCGCTGTGTGTCAAGAGGAGGCAGCCGCTCTTTTATTGAGGGTGATGGTGGCGGCGGCATTGGTCCATTAACCTCGGGTCCCTCCTCCCAGCCTTCCGCACTCCCTCTCACAGTGGCTTTGCAAACAAAAACGGGTCTCAGTCATTCCTGGCAAACTACCTCAGGGGCCCAACGGGCTGTGCTCCAGGTGTGCCTTGGGGGCGGCATTGGTTTACCTAAGGGCCTGTATATATATTTGTGTGTGTGTGTGTGTGTGTGTTTTCTCCACAAGGTCACTGGTTCAAGTCAATTTTCCTACTTATTTGTAAACTGGGGAAGCCTTATTTTGGCATATGTGGGAACATATGCAGGACTAGTTTCAACCTGTGGCTGGCACTCATGCTGGCCCTCCTTCCCTGCCAGCATGTGATCTGCTCACTCTGAAAGCAGCCACGCTGCCCACACAGGGTTGCATCCACCAGCCAGGAGCCCCATTGATCAGGGTCCCCATTCTCCTGAATGAAAGGCAGGCGCTCCAGAGGGTGCCAGATACCATCATTGGCTGAATGCCAGCGCCTACATATCATGTGCAGGGGTGAGGAGGCACACGCCTCCCTGTGTCGCCCAGCCGCATCTCCTTGAGATTTACAGATGCATTTCAGGATGGCGTCTGGACCCAGGCTTCTGTTCTGGCTGCCTTTCCGCCATTGTTTGTGTCCTGGGGTCAGAGGGTTCCTCCGTCCAGAGTCGCATCCTGGGTGCTCACAGCAGTCTCTCTTCTTTCTCCCATTCTAGGCTCTGCTGAAGCACACCGGCAGCAGCCCTTCAATCCGGACATGCGATGCATTGTTTCTTTGGGGAGGCCCTTCGTTTTGTGGGTTTTCCCTTCTTTTTGTTTCTTTGTTTTGGAACTGTGAAGACTAAAGAGCTGAGATTCTCCACCCTTCTATCCCCCACCCCACCTTTTTTTTTTCCAAAATCTGGCTGTGAGGACAAAAGCAGACGATAGGAAGGAAATACCTTTTGTTTCTCCCACATGTTTGCACTGTGTGCTGACTGAACATTGGTTGCACTAACTGCTGGTTTTAATTTCTTTGTTGGTGGGGGAGAAGAACAACAACTCTGAAAAGAGAAGACTCCCAAATTCTAGAAGCTTCCCTGCGATTTTGGATTCAGCCCCAGCCTCCTCCTGCCTGAGTGCATTTCAACTTCTCCCTGGCCTCCTCCTCATCTGTCTTCTGAGCTAAAGAGCTTGTTACTTACGTGTGCAAAGTGCCTTATGCTACGAGACCATTCAGAATATCACCTTTCAGACACAGCCCAAGGAGTCCTTTTGGTTCAGGTCAAAATCTCTCTCCCACTTCCACTCCCCTCCCTCCTCCCTCTCTCCCACCCCCTTCACTGGGCCGGGAGGTGACACTTGTCAGTAACATTTTTTCTTTACTTTTTTTTTTAATTGGAGGCGTTGAGACACAGTTGCAGTTCACCCACTCTGTAAATATGTGTATTTAAGCAAAGTAGCCTGGACCATCTGGGTTGCTGGAGGGCAACTTGGCACTCCAGGAGGAAAGAGCCACCTGCCACTCACCTGCAGCAGGAGCCAACCGAAAGAAAAGGCCCCCTGGGCGCTCTTGGAACACTACAGACTGATTTCCGTGAGTCTCCATGGGTGGCCACAGCAGCACTTGCTAGGTAGACTTGTCTCAGAGCCGTGGCCATCTTTCCTCTCTGAAGTGTGTTCCACAGAAAATTGGATATGTATACTTGTATAAACTCTGTAAATATGTGTTTTTCTGTTATGGGTTCATGTATAACTTTCTTTCTTTTTTTCCTTTTTTTTTCTTGTTTTGATGAAGTTTGCTGGGCTTAAAGGGATTATAGATCGATCTTGACAGCAGCTACAGGTGAGAGGGGCTCAGTTTTCTGCAACACTGCTTCCATGCCAGGCATTGCCTCTTCGTTTGTCTGGCTTGCTGTAGAGCTGTTCTTCCTTGGAAGAGATGGGGGCGTGGGACTGTTGTTCCTCAGGAGCTGTTGGAGGTGCTGCTGTGGGATTGCCCCTCCAGAATTGGGGGCAGGGGGCACCTGGGTTGCAGGGGCAGAGCAGGGCAGGCAGAGCTGGGGTTTGGAGCCACCGACAGCAAGCACAGCAGGCCCTTCCCGGCTGCTTTTTGCCCTGGGGGGCTCCCTGCAGCTTGGCTGTGGACTTGGTGCCAGCCTGTCTATCCAGACACCCCAGAAGAGGTCAAGGCAGCCCCCTGGGTCTTGCTTGGCCTCTTCTGTGCGAGGTAAGCGCTTTCAGTGCCTGCGGTGTTGCTTTAAATTGTGCCCCTCCCAATATGCTTGAGGTTTGGCCTGATCTCCAGGCAAAAGGAGTGAGACAACCTGACCTGTAAACTTCTTTCTTAAGGATTCCCTTCCCTGACCAGCAGCCAGGAGGCACTTTTCCACATCCTTTGGAATCAGAATCCACACTTGTGGCACCATCCTGCTTTCTCACCCCAAGGAGCTTGAGTGGTCCTAAATTTCCCTTGCCTCAGAATTGGAACAGGACTGCTTTAGTTACCCCAGTCCCTTTAGCAATCTGTGCTTGACTGAACCAGGTGCCTCCTGGCAATCCTTTCATAGTGAACATGTTTTGTCCAAGTAACTCCACAGCAACGTAGCAAAAGCTGCACTAAAGTCCAGCTCCACTGCTGGGGAAGTCACGCTGGCTGCGGCAGCCAGGCAAGTACTCTCTGTGGCGGGGAGGGGTGCGGGACCTTTTTTGGGTAGGAATTTCTGACCAAAAGCAAAATCTTGCCCTTCTATTGCAGCCAGCGTGGCTTTCCAGCATGGGAAAGAAGAGGGCGATTTTAGTGCAAAGATGACCGGTGTGCAGGAAAAGAGACGCTCACGAGGGCCTGCACACCGGATGTGCTGCCGTGAGTGGAGGTGGCCTGTGCCATGCTCATCTCGCCACTCTTGAAAGCACAGCATTGTAAAATGGAAAGTATTACTTCAAATGTAGCCGCTGGGCAGAAAAGCGGCATCTGCCTATAGTCATGAACACCAATTTTGGGTGGCTTTTCTTGGGTCAGAAAGCCACCCGACATTGGTCAGTGACGGTCTCTCTCCAGGGCTTGGAGGGACCCCGAAATGGAAAGATGCTCCAGATAGCGACCGGGTAGACCCTGGTCTGTTTTTTGTTTTGTTTTTTAACCCCTTCCCCCTCTGAAAACAACCAAATCTGATAATTTTCAGTTCTTGCTTGTGAAAGTGAATTGGCAGCAGTTATTTCCATTGATTGTGTCCTTAGAGAGCCATGGAGATGCCATGTGGCTGTCTTCGCCCCCAGTGCATTGGCACCACCTTGTTCCTTGTCTCGCAGCCAGGGGCGGGGGCCAAGCCAGGCTTGAGTGAGACACTTCTGCACTTGTTAGCGATGGCCCGTGGGAAATGGGGAGGGGGGTGGATCGGCCTTAGTTTTTTGTTTTGTTCTTTTTTAAAGTTTTTCTAGAATGAGATGGGAGCATCTTTCCTTCACCCTCTGTTTTTGTGTCTGTCGTTGGGGCAGTTTGAGATCACGGGAACAGGCCACAAACAGAAGGGTTAGTGTTAGACATCTCATTCTAATTTTTTCTTTTATGGGCGGGTTTACCTGCACAGAGTTTGCCAAGTGTTTCCAGCTAAGGGAGGCACCTCTTGCTGTGTGGAAGAACACTGCCATGGTTCCGGCAGTAGTCTGACCTCTGCTGCTGAGGGCAAGCAAGTTGGCATTGGTTAACCACAGTCTCTCCAGGGCTCAGAGAGGGTGGGTGGGCAGGCAGGCGGGTGGGTGGGGCTCAAAGCTGTCCTCTCTTGCAAAGCACAGTTCCCCTTCCTGCCCTGGCAGAGTGCAGGAAGATCACCGGCGAGCAGGGATGCCTCTCACTTGCCGGGGCCACCTTTTATCTCCACCAAGGCTAGGAAAAGGAGGATACTGAGAGTCACGACCTGCCTCTGTGGTGTTAAAGACCC